CTCATTTTAATAATTATTCGTGACCTTTATAATATGTACGCGAAGAACGTCGAGAATCGATTTTCGAAATGTCACTTACCTATACACCGAATCGAGTGTAATATTATTATCATCGCACACCACCACGGTCACTCGACCGAAATCAGAGTTGCTTTGAAAAAAAGATAGTACCAATAATCCTTGGGCATTTGTTGTCACTGATAATTTTTTTTAAATGATAATATTTAGCCAAAAACGTGGTTCTTTATCGGGTACCTATACCCAAAAACCCCCGGCTAATGTAAGAAATGAATTAAGTTTGAATTTGTATACTTTAATTGTTCTTTTGTTCATAAATGTGCGAAATTAATCATTTTATTTCTTGTGTTATTATTTTAATGTTTATAGCATATACTATTTAAAAATGTATATTTAACGTCTGTATGAAGTACTAGTGTTGTTTAATATTTATTAATCTATATAATTAATCCTGTTATTTTCTTATCGATTTAAATTAGTTAATTATATGAGCAATACATGCATCAAAGACCTCCTGTGTTCAAAGTATTCTTTTAAAAATAAAATAGATTTTTGACATAATATGTATCTAAAACAGCAGTCAGAAATAATAACATACTTGCGGAAAATTACGTTTCCATTTTTGACAAAATTTGTCCTAAAAACCTGACGTGAGTGAAACGGCCGACAAGATGGTCTTTTCACCTGCACACACGTTATGAATATAATATATTGTATTTTTAATTGTTATTATCGCGCGCAAGCTGTGTAAGTGTTTTATTTTTTTATTTGTTACAACTAAACCACGAGGGCGGGATGATGGTTCCGGCTAGTGCGCAAAGTGGCCCTCGTCAGGTCGCGCGTGGGTGACTTTTATGGTCCCCAATGAGAAAACGATAAATTTTACGATTACCCGTTGGAAATTAATAGATGGGATCGCGAACGAGACGTTAAAACGGGCGCAGGAGGTTTTATAGTCCAGTTTAATATAAAATACAACAACAATAATATGGTATTCAAAATTACATAAACTAACCACAACGTCGGACACACACTGTAAGTTAATCGTTAAAAATCAAAAATAAACGTTGCCAAAAATAACGAAACCTAAAAATGAAAATAAATCCAAATAAGGATTGATGTGGGACGAATGACTTTGGGTTGGCTTCAGCAGGCTGCCTTAATATCTATTCGAGTGCGCCCCATCAAAATAGATTATCGCGTGATTGGGTTAACAATGTAATATGCATTGTGCACATCATCCAGTACGGTTCATGACCCTCCTAGTCCGTGGTCAAAAGGTCAACACAATATTCTATGGGCATACCAAATGGTATTCGATAAATGATGATTGATCACTTAGGATGATGTGATAAGGACTACGATTAAAGGGCTCTATGCTCAGTAAAGGGCTTATAACCGGGACCTACAGGCCGTGCTAAAGCGCCAATAGTCTGCCCACGTCAACGCGGTTAAGTGACAATGTTATTATGTATAAATATTGTTTAATATATATTTATTATGCACATTGCAGCCGTGGTCGGCGTGGAAGCAGCAATATGGATTTCGATAACAACAGTAACCATAATGTAATATAATGTCTTTATTTTTATATAACGTTATAGGTTTTTTTTATTTTATTATAAAGAATATGGATTTTCATCTACCTCGCGTTCGCTACCAGGCGTTTGAACACATATTATCATAAAGATATCAGCCATTTATATTACAATTTAACGTTCAATTGCAGCCACCGCGCTGCTGCTAATGAGCGTCATTTCAAAGAGAGAAATATGTAAATAAAAAATTATAACGAGTGCTCGCCTCACACGTTCCATCCATGCAAAACACGTAAAATACATTATAATATATGAAATGTTTTGTAAACCGCCGGGGGTTAACTGCAATTTAAAATATCGCATTGTAATAACTGTCACCCGGCAAAGGTGATTGTGTATATTATAAGTCTGTAATTGACATTAGAATAATGCAATGCGCATCGACCGACCGGTGTCGACTGCATATACAGCGGTAATTGACGACTGTTATGCAAATGTATTTGTACCTACATACTATAGTCTATGTGTGTATGTAGGATGGATATTTACAATCGGCTGCCGCAGTTGGATTCGTTTCTGTGTGCACACGACGCATTATCGGCAATCCGTATGAACATTAATTATTATTCGTTGCCCGCTTTAAACGCCCAGACAAATTGTGTTTGTACACTGCAGAGACTACGGGTCTCTCATGGGACGTAAAGAGGATGTACCCACAACACAACACGGCCAAACGCGTATCCTGTCAATCGGGCCAAAGCGCAGAACCGATTTTGGGCGAACTCCGATTGTGCAAAGGTCAAGTGCAAATATGGGAAAGTTCTAGTTATTCATAATAATGATGGACAATAGGGGGGGAGACAAAATTCGATTACCATAGCGAGTATACTGTACATGAGTATAAATTATAAAACTACTTGGCACGCATATATATATCTGTGTTTTAAACTTTAGACCATACTAATAATCTGATAACCTGAAACTAAACGGTGTAAGGGACGATTTTTGATTATAGGAATTGGCCGAATTCCTTCTCACAACTGTAGGCTCGATCAACGCTTTTACATTAGCCATCCTCATTGGCAATTATGTCTCTAAGCATGACCTCTTTTTCGTTTTCATAAGTTGTGCCGTTACTGTTGCTCAATGTGTCCTTATATAATTACCCGCCTCGTTCGACTATTTCCTCGACTACTTATCGGAAACGGTTCGTACGATCTACACAAGGACAATGGGGACTAGTGACTAGTGTCTTTTCTTTTACTTTTTTTTTTATACACTATATACAGCAACAACACACATAGGAGCGACATAATGTTCTTTACTATTATTATCATCATTATTATTAGGGACACGATTACGGGCACGTCGTCGTCGCCAAAGACGTTTTTAATTGGACTGTTCGGTCACGCCCATCCCGTCGCCGCTGCCTCCGTCATCCCGTCGTCAACACACGTCCAGAAACAAAAAACAAAACACAATATACTTAGAAGAAAAAAAACCCTAATACAAGCAGGATCCTACGGCTTCTCCGGTCAACTCCGGTGTTTGCGCCATTTTACCGGATCGGGTTACTCGCGACGGCCACCACCCCGTGTCGTTTCGGTATTGTGCTCGCCTCCCCTTTCGGCGCACCTTGACGTGCCCCCTCAGACGCTTAAAAATAATTTACCTCCTCCTACCGGCATACATTACCACTCTGCCATTGGTCGCACACACGGTGTTGCAAACACGAGTTCCTTTATTATTTGTATATATATATATATTTTTTTTTTTATATGGGCGACCCACAAATGTTGCCTGGACAGAGAACAAGCAACACGATATACACAATGTGCACACGAAAAACTACAGACGACGCCGTACGTATAGCTTGAAGAAGGAAAGGGTCAAATTGAATTACACGTGAACGCTATGATATTATAATCCGATCTCGTGAGTGCGGGAAACGTCAAGTGGACTCGACGGACCGAAATCGAAGCCTTTCCGCTCGGTAAGCACGACAGTAACAAAAAAAAAAAAAACAACAAAAAACTGAAATTGTAAGGACTTGTCGTCCTGTGCGGCGTGAATAGGAGGAATTATGTTAATACGGACTTAAGCTCCGAGACTCGTTTAATACATAATATAATATACAATAAAACTATGTGTGCCACGGCCCACGACCACCGGGCGGCTGACAAACGCATAAAAAAGAAAATATTTTACACGATATCCAGATTATTATAAATAATATATTGGGAATCCCGTGGAGTTTTTGCAGTCCAAAACAACAGTTGTAAAATGAAAAATACAATATTACCGTCATCGTATTCAAATATATTAACAGGCGGCAAGTGTCAGGAGCGAGGGAGAGAGCTCATCCGCCAAATCTCCTTTAAATATTTCCCCCCAGTTTCTCTAATATTGAATTAGCAAATGTAAAACGGACATAAATAAAAAAAATTGAAGAAAAAGAAGATTACAAAAGATTAGGTTATTGATATTAAAATTCAAATTTTCAGCTCGGACAAACTTTGCTGTCGTCAGCCCTTTGCTAGTCAGAACCGCCAAAGAAGAAGATGTGTTTGCTAGATAATGTCAAAAACCGAGTAATTGTATTATGGCGGCGTCATGCGACAATTTCCGTTCGACATAAAACGTTTGTAGTCAAGTGTAATTAAAAAACCGTTATATTTGTTGTTTAAAAGTGTAAAAAAGGGGAATTTACAAAAGAAAAATAGCTATAATGCTTAAGCTCGGTGTAAATCGCAGAGGATAAAAGTAAAGAAATCTATAAGCCTCAAGTTGTTTTTGGGGGAGGAAATGGGATTAGATTCGATTCGCCAGTTTATTGCACCCGATGCGCGCGCACACTGTACACACACACACATTAAGGGCATACGGTTTTTCTTGGTAATATTACTGCGGGGAGCGTGATGGGTGATGGTAAAAGAAAATTGTATATACAGTATACACCAACGTCGTATGGCCCTACTTCCCCTCTTCTCTGGTACATCTCGAGATTTTCGGTGAATAGCAGTGCCAAAATCCATTAGGTCTCGCAAATAACAGTCGCCATAACAGTTTTAATCCGTTACATATGTCGTCAAAACGGCATTTTTATCGTCGAGCCCATAAAAAGAAATATCGGAAAACTGTGTGTGTATGTTGGTTATGTGTATTGTGTTTAGTGGACGGTCAACGACGGCCGAGTTCGGTCCATTTAACGTTTGGGAACACCAAATAACTTCCCCGGGTCGCCTTTTTATCGCGAACAAAATATATAGATTTTATCTAGCGGAAAAGAATGCGCTACGTAGAGAAGAAAATATTTATACAAAAATATATAAAACGTCAACATATTGTACAAAAACTATACATATTCTAAAGGGGGGACGGTAGAGAGAAGAAAAATATCATAAATATTATTATAAAAAAAAAAGAAAGAAAATCCACACTCACCCCTGCAGCATTGGCGTCCGGTCCGTAAGGATATGTCGTCCATCGTAAGCTGGGTTCGGTGGTGGTGTCCAAGAGAACGACTGTAACACAAAACAAAAACACACATTTAATACTAAGTATAATGTTATTAACACAATTAGACATTAGGAAATAATGCAGCAGTATAACACTCATAATTGGAAAACAAACTTAACCGTTGAGCTAGAAAATATTTAACAACAAATAAATGCTAAAACTGTGTACAAAAAATGAATATGAACAATATTTTTTTTAAGTTGAACGTTGACCAGAAGCGAACTGGTGAACAAATAACCGAAAGGCTTCTTTATTTTACTTTATAAAGGCTAACTGGTATTTATTATGTTTGGGCCCGTAAAACAGCGTTATTTTTTTTTATTTTTCTGGGGCACCGTTAAATTTACACATACTAGGGGACAGTGGCCTGTTCATTGATGAGCAAAGCAAAATAATAAAGATTTATGGTGGTTAGAAACATAATAACAATGACGCTTTATATATTACATTTTATAAGGACTCGAAATTATTCGATAATAAATAACAACCATACTTCAACTTGCAAGCGTGAATAAATTAGTTTTTATTCGAATAACTTTTAACTTGATTAAGTTACTTATTTCGTAGTTTTTTTTATTATCCATAAAAAGTAACTTTTATAATATTAACTGGAACTTTTTTCAATTATTATTTTTTAAACTTAAACTATAAACTAATTTAAAGTAGACACTTGCTCAGTGCTAGCGCCTACAATTGTGTTCTAAAAACACAATTTTGTAAGTGCAAACGGTAAGCGCGTGCAATTTTTTCGAACGGAAATTAATTAAAACGTAATTGCGTCACTCGTTTTTGATTAACAACAATTAACTACGACAGGAAGGTAAACGTGAAGCGTACTTAAGGGACTTCTCGCGGTTTCGGGTGTGTGTGTCCGGCATTTATAAACCTCTCAAGATGCCCAAAAAGGGGAAGGGTCGGCGGAGAGAAGGGGCTCTCGCGCGAGAGGTGAGAACATAAATTTAGCCGACACGGTCGTATAATAATATAATATACCGGCGAACCGGAGTTTCTCATTTGTTCAATTGACCACTACCCTCCCCAGTGCCCTCTCCTCCTCTCGGTGCCGTCCTTTTGCGTGTTAATACCCTCTTCTCGGTTCTCGTCGGACTATGTACACTCACACACACACAATGCTTTTGCGGCTGGTTCTCATCATGGCTCTGCCTGCTGTTGCACAGCTTATACATATATATATATATATGTGTATATATATATGTATATATAGTCAGCACTTTATTGGGTTTTTGTATATATATATATATATATTATATACTTGGACACGGAAAAAGGGATGACGCGTAATCTGTTTACTCGGACCGCGCGCCTTGTCTAGGGCGCAATGCCATTTATATTAATTAAATTCCCACGGGCCAAAACCAATATTGTATATGTGTTAGCGAGCGACGCGTTATTTCTTTTGGCCGCGCTAAGCCGGAGAGAGAGAGAGAGAGAGAAAATCGACTTTTAATACCCTTATTACACACATATATCTATATATATATATATTGTATCGAAGCCTTTAATGAAGTTGTACGCCGCTAGCACTGCGTGTAATTAGTCTGTATACACACACACATACATACACGACCAACCCTCGGCGTTTCTCCAAGACTTACTAACAGGCGTCTCGCACGCGAATCGACCATAAAATAAATATATATTAAAAAAAAAACAACAACAATATACCGTGAAGACCAACGCCGTCGTGGGGAGAGGGTTGTTCCGGAAAAACCGCTCCGGGTCTTGTCCGAAATGACTCAATAACGTTATTACAATATATAGTCTGTCGCGACCAAAAGTAATTTCGGAATGGACGCACTGTTGGAGGAGGGGGGTTGATTTTTGAGTACGGACAACGCCCCCCCCTGCTCTTGGTACACTGCTGCATACGTCTTGTCCGGTCCCGCTCGCGATTATTATATTAGTTTATCGTTTCCGGCAATTTGTGTTCGTGAACACCAAACGGAAAGTAATATACATTCTCTATTAGTAGTAGTAATAAAAAAAATATATTAAAAAAATAATACAATGTTCGCATATTCAAGCATGCAGCCCTATATCGTTGCACTGCGACTATTATTCTAATCTTTTGACCATATAACGACTTCCCTTATGAATAATAATTATTCAAACACGCTTATTGGACGTGCATAAAGGACCGTGTTGTAGCGCAATGCTGCAATTAGCTATCAAATGTGAATGGACTTGAAACCGAGCAATAACAATTAGGTATTAATGAGAGGTTATCAATTTGGATTTTTAAAACGTTTTGCCTCCCTTGTATATTATTATGAACTAACAAATGCATCATCCTGAATACAGCGCTGGGCTTAAGACAAATGGATTATTATGTCCCGTTGAAATTGTGGTAATTTTCTTAAACACACTATATAGACGTTTTACGAGGGTATAGGTATACGTTTATAAAAATTGTAACGTTTACTAAAAGTGAATGATTAATTTAAAAAAAAAATAGGCAATCCGACTCTAACGTGTACCGATCTTAAAAAAGGCATAAAAGATGTATTATTATATTCTTGTAACCGGAAGTCATCATCCGCCGACCACCTCGATTAACTATTTAAAAAAAAAAGCATATAAAAACGTTAAATGCAACAGTAAACGGTACTCGCGGGGTATATAAAACGGGTGCGGGCACAAGTATACATAATATCATATCATTGTGTATATCTACACACCGAGTCCATCGCTTTGAGAGGGCGAACACATGCGTGTTTGTGTTTTTTATTGCCGACATGACGTTTGAATATATTATATATGGTATCATCTTCAAAGCAAACGCGTAACTTAATTAAATTGGCGTAACCCGCAATTACCACGCGAATATTATCTTGTATTAATATTATAATTTGTTATAGCTATACACACCGGCCGCAATTTTTATTACACTCCATATTAAATACACAAACAGGATTATAAAATTATTATCATACACACCGCGTAGACGAGCCGGCCGTCCAGAATATCTTCCAGTAGGGTGGATGTTTTTTTGTCCCTATTATTTTTTATTGTCTGTAGTAACATCCTCTCGCGGTCGACAGTCGGTGTTCGTGTGTAATAATAGCAAGATGTATCACACACAAACCGAATACTGGCAAAGGGCTAGTCCCGACGTTAAAAAAAAAAACGCTCCGCAGCGTACATATCCGGTTCTTTTTCTTTCTTTTTTATTGGCCACAGCGTGCAAGAAAGACGCAAGTCGCTGTGAGCGAAACGGGGTGGGTGGAGAGGGGAGGATTAATTTTGCGGGCGGACTTCAAAAGATGACGGCGCGTTAAAAAGCTCTCTCGAGACACACAACGGACCGGGGCGCGGGGGAGAAGAAGTTAACCTCGGCCCCGGCAAGCGGAGGGGAAGGTATGATTACGTCGGCTCGCCGAGGTGTTTTCTACGGGCCGTGACGAATTTTTACTGCGGCCTTTGCCCGGGGACCAATTATACAATTTGATCCCTTCCGGCGTGAGAGGTCGACGGGTAACAAAAAAAAAAAACCATCTAAAAACAAAAGCCCATAAACTTATAAAGCGCCGGTGCTCGCGCTTAACTCGGGTCCCGCCACTAATTTCATCGTCTCGAGGGGAAGGCGACCGTGTACTGCGACGGCGAGGGAGGGCAAGTCATAAAAAAAATAGCCGTGGTTGGTTTTCGAATTTCACGGGTCGCTTGCTGCGGTGCGGGCGGCAAAACGTTTAAAAACGTACGGGAGAGATAAAAAAAAAAAATTTAAATGAGGGCACGAGTCATCCGATCAATCTCTTTGAAACGTGTTGGGCCACAGAATAATTTACATGACGTACTAAACCACATTTGATAGGTATACAGGGTGTTCCGGCACTCAAAACAATAAAAAAAAAATGCCCTGCAAACGTTGCGGACGGCACAAACAAAATTCCATTGTATTTTAGAACCCACATTAAATAAAACTTAGGGCCTGTGGCCCTTTGAAAAGCTTAATCCGACCGTGTGTAGGTTCTTGTATAAAAAAATATTTATTTTATGTAAAATAATATATTAACGATAAAATATAATACGTTTTCCATTGTAATTTGTCAATCCTTTAATTGTAAATACATATATATATATGCATATATAACAAAGGCGAAGAAAAGGATTTTTTTGTGTTGCTGTTTAATCCGAAAACACCCTGTACTCGGTAGTTAATGCAGAAACCGTGTTACACAAAATACGACGGATATAAAAAAAAAAAAACAAACACAATAATAATAGTACTAAAATATAATTAAACAGACAACGCGAGATAACTGCAGTGGGGCTTTAGAGTATACATAGGCCATTTTTTTATTGCGACTCCGAGGTGTACGTTTTTATTACAGCCGACCCGATGATAAAACGTGCGACGAAGGGGAGGGGGGGGTGAGAAGGAATGTAACTTCGGATTAAATAAATTATTTTTCGCCAATTTCTTTTTCTGCTCGCGGTTTATAAGTGTGTAGTAGTGTACTGGAAAAAGTCAAATCGTAAAAACGTTGGCGGCCGGTCAGGAAGACGATATAAAACAGACGCTACGTAGAGTCTCCTTCACTCTCTTTCCGTTTTTATTATCCACCAGAGAAACCACACGGGCAAAACAACCTCATCATAGAGTTCACCGAGTAACCCCCCCCCCCATCCATCCAACCGGACCGGCCGGAAACCGTGGCGGCCCGACACTGGCGAATCGTTAAATATATGAAAAACAAATACACTATATACTATTATATAAAACAATGAGGATTGTTATTATATTATTATATTATTTCACTAGGCCCGAAATATTTGTCGGTCGTCGACGCGTTTGGTTAGACAAAAAGTTCCATCGTCTTACACACACGACCCGGTTTTAGGTGTATATAGTACAAGTTAGATATAATATAATGCACGGGAGACAAAAGAGCATACTGAAAATCACGTGCCGCATAAAAGAATGGGCGACGATCGTATAGCCTTCGAGCAAAATCTATACACAATATGTGTACAGTGTACA